TTAAATTGCGGTGATTTTTAAATTTATATACACGATATATGTTGAAAAATTTCCCCCCTTCCCCCCAAGAATTGCTGCTGTGTCCGCTCCTGAAATAATTAATATTATAATATGATCAATTTTTCCTGCACCCCTAAACACAAATACACCCCCTGCTTTAAGGGTGCACGCGATCAATTCGGCATAGGGCTCATTCGAAAGGGCACGGTTTAGCCTTTAATTTCTGATATATGCAAAATTTGTACCACGTCAGGGTTCAGCTCTATAATTTTTCGAAAATGGCCAAAAACGCTGTTTTTAGGGGTTTCAACCCCTTTTTTCTCGAAAACGTGACGTGATGGGACATTTTTGACCCCGGATTCGTGTTCAGCACGAAAAATCCGTTCAGAAACACCAGGTCCCGTCTTATTCGCAGAAAAAAAGTTGAAATTTGTAGACCAGTGTTATTAATAATTATTATATATGTAGTCAACCGGGTGACAAATACTACAACAAAGGGTTACAAATGAATTTTCAGGTAAACCTGTATGGACAGGTATGAGCCAAAAACTTGAGAAATGGCTTAAAGTTATCTTAATAACTCAAACGGAGGGTGAAACCAGCAAAGGCTTACGTGGCCAAAATGGGACAAAAAGTGGCCGAAGGATCTCCTCATGCTGAAGACAGGGGAGCTATGGATCTGCTAACAGGCCATGTTGCCATCGGAAGGCGCGAAGATAGGGTAGAGGTCCCCATAATGACTTCCACAGAAGCTGCAGAAATTAAGAAGAGCCAGAAACCTTGCGGCACCTGTTATGCGAATGCCCCGCACTTTGTTGAAGAAGACGAACGTTATTTACAAGTTCAGGAATATTTGAAGACCTAACCGACATAGCTGAGGTAGGCATACGGCCACTTCTGGGTTTCGCGAAATCCACACGATGGTTTGACAAGGAGGGTTCTAGAGATCCGTGGGGTAACACAACGGGCCCACAACACAAGAGTCATGTATTCTAGTGTGGTCGCTGGCAGCTGATATGTAAAAAATCCCGTTTTGCGACAGAAAATCCCATTCGCCCTTTTTAGTCATAAAATCCCGAAAAAAGGGCGAAATCCCTCAAACTGGCAACACTGGTTTGACGTAGCAACATATAAAATTTACTGTTGGTAGAGATAAGGTGCCCACACTCAGCGACGTTTATGTATGCCGTATCTGTTTTTGCGTAGCAACCTACAAAATTTACTGTTGATAGAGAGAGAGAAAAGCACGCGCATCCGTCGGACGTACATGGTGGTGAGTTTTCATTTACATGGCGCTCTCATAAGTTTGATCGTGTCAACTGTCACGTTAGCGTACGTGGGTATGGCTGACACGAACAAACTTATGAAAGCGCCATGTCAAGAATGATAGAATACAAGATTGCGCCAATGAGAGAGAATTTTTGAGCGTAATTTTTGCGTGACGTCATCTTGGAGCAATTGCGAGAGAGAAATGCCAAAACGCATATAAAAATATGTAAACAATGCAGAAAAATGTGTTAATTTTAATATTACATGGCCCAATTTTGCAGGAATCAATAAATATAAAAAGATTGATTAATGAGGAACACGTAGCAATAATTTTGGACATGTAGCCCTTTAGGTAAGTACGATTTTTAGCACATGAAAAAATTGATGTATTAACAGTGTTTGCAATTTCATGTAGACCAAAAGGAAGGTGTGCAGCAAAGTGAGTTTTTGGACTCGACCTAAAGCATACATTGTAAAAAGCCATGCAGAGTGGATATTTATATTTGTGGACGGTAGCCAACCACCATAAACTCCACAGCTGTTCACTCCACAGCTTTGATTTGACGACTTTAGTACCATCTCCTAGAGGATGCATGAGTGTGGCTTCTTTGGAAACAAATATTCTATCTAAGTAAAACATAATTTAGCTGAACTTTTAAACGTATAATAATTTGGGCACTGTTTTGTATTAGGTACGTAACAGCGCGGTAAGATGCCGCTTGAATTAACGCCTGGCGACCTTATCCACTGGTGCATTACCTCATACCAGCACTAAAAAGAATCAGGTACTAACAAAAATAAGTAGGTAGTGATGAAGTTCATGTATCTATTTACATAGCTCGATTTGGTGTTTAATGCATCTCCTCGCCGGCAGAACTGCTTCCACTTTTTCGACCGATTTGCGTCCGTAGGAGACGAAAAAAAAACGTATATCGCACGCTTTCCTTTTGTTTTCACTATAACACTTTGTCGCGGCACACTTCATTTTGCTTTGTAATGTCTCAATAATTTTTTAAAACCACGCAGAAATATCAACGCACAAATGCTAATATTGTTATTTGGTTTTTTCGTATGCTCACAATCGACAATTGCACCAAGATGACGTCACGCACACAGCTGATTCTGTCAAAATCCAAAGAGCGGATTAGCGGTACCGCGATTGGCGCAATCTCTATTTCTCTCAATCGTGGCGCCATGTGAATGAAAATTCACCACCGTGTACGTGCGACGGATACGCGTACTTCCCTCTCTCTCTATCAACAGTAAATTTTATATGTTGCTACGTCAAACAGACACTTAGTATAGAGCAATGGTCGGCACGCCATAGTACAATTGTACAAGCTCTCATCACACGCATTTGTTACGCTCTTTCNATATTTATATTTGTGGACGGTAGCCAACCACCATAAACTCCACAGCTGTTCACTCCACAGCTTTGATTTGACGACTTTAGTACCATCTCCTAGAGGATGCATGAGTGTGGCTTCTTTGGAAACAAATATTCTATCTAAGTAAAACATAATTTAGCTGAACTTTTAAACGTATAATAATTTGGGCACTGTTTTGTATTAGGTACGTAACAGCGCGGTAAGATGCCGCTTGAATTAACGCCTGGCGACCTTATCCACTGGTGCATTACCTCATACCAGCACTAAAAAGAATCAGGTACTAACAAAAATAAGTAGGTAGTGATGAAGTTCATGTATCTATTTACATAGCTCGATTTGGTGTTTAATGCATCTCCTCGCCGGCAGAACTGCTTCCACTTTTTCGACCGATTTGCGTCCGTAGGAGACGAAAAAAAAACGTATATCGCACGCTTTCCTTTTGTTTTCACTATAACACTTTGTCGCGGCACACTTCATTTTGCTTTGTAATGTCTCAATAATTTTTTAAAACCACGCAGAAATATCAACGCACAAATGCTAATATTGTTATTTGGTTTTTTCGTATGCTCACAATCGACAATTGCACCAAGATGACGTCACGCACACAGCTGATTCTGTCAAAATCCAAAGAGCGGATTAGCGGTACCGCGATTGGCGCAATCTCTATTTCTCTCAATCGTGGCGCCATGTGAATGAAAATTCACCACCGTGTACGTGCGACGGATACGCGTACTTCCCTCTCTCTCTATCAACAGTAAATTTTATATGTTGCTACGTCAAACAGACACTTAGTATAGAGCAATGGTCGGCACGCCATAGTACAATTGTACAAGCTCTCATCACACGCATTTGTTACGCTCTTTCGTTTAATCGTCGCTGAGCAAGCAACGAATCAACATCGTGTTTGGCTGTTGCGCTTTGTTTCTTGAATGCAAAAATGCCTTGCGAGAAATATTACATGCTTGAAAACGCTTTTGGTGACATGCAATGCCTTTTGTGTTACAGGTCATTTAAATAATAAAGAATATGCTATTCAAAGACATTTTGATTCTTTTCATAAGGTAATATTTTGATGAAGAAGAAATACAACGACTTTTTATTGAAAAAAAGTTAATTTTTTTTCCAAGGAATTAAAGGGTGGTTGTTAAAGGCAATATGTATGCGATTAAAAGACATTTTTAATCATTCATAATGATATGGAAAATTTTGATGAACATGAATTTCAATTTTTTTATTTAAATTTTCAATATTTGGCGTTGATGAATCCAAATGAATTTTTAAATTTTTTATTTGAGTTTCACTTCAATATTTTCATGACTCAAAAAACTATAAACTCGAGAAAACCAGTTTTAAAGGTTTGGAATTAAATATACTCCCGAGGGAAAAATTAATACATATTCAGCTTTGTCATGAGTTTCATTTTCTCCAAGCCGGTTCACTTTTCACTTTTGTTTCCGTGAATTTACTATGCGCGGATGAACATTTTTCGGGTGAATTTTTTTTCGGGCGAAAGTCAGGATAAGGTTGATTTTGTTCTAGTGAGCTACTAGTAATTCATAAAATTTTTACACATCATAAGAAAGAGCTAATGTACATTCTTGCATACTTAACCCGATTTTTACTTTATTGGGATTATGATACTTTTATAGTAAATGAGCGATGCACATATATTTACATATGTATGTGTTAAATATACGTATTTATGTGTTTTTATTGAAGACCGATAAGTTAATAATTTTGTTTCACTTCTCGTAATTTCCTACTGGGTTGCTCATGCGAAGCAGTTCTCTTGTGCTTACCAACACAAACACAGTTTAACTTTTGCCGACCACTGGTATAGAGAGAAGCACGCGTAAACTTCCAACCTCAGTATATCCAGTAAAAAAACTGTGGTGAAGTCCTTTATGGGGATAAAGTTTCCAGAGGTGAAATTTTAGGTAGCACACAATTTCTTACACGCATGGTTGCTTTTCAGCACTCATGAAAGAAACTTAAGAAATATTTGAAAAAAAAGTTCATATAGTACATTAATTTTGAAAGAAATACCATATAATGTATGTACTCTGGTTAATAATATCAAAAAATGTATTAGAACCACCGTTTAATGTTATATTTGATACAAATTAATATTGCTGCCCCGAACGCTCTGCGCCTTGCCACTGAATAATAGATTTACTTAAAATTACATCCCTGGTCCTTGTTCTTTCTGTATCGCATCGTGGTGAATTCACATTTCTCAGAAATTTGACAACAAAACAAAACAGAGCGAGTATTTTATTTGCTAATTTTTGCATTTTCTATTGTTTAATGTAAATTTGTCTTTTTAGGATATGTCGAGCAACAAAGAAGGCGCAGTTGGGAAATTGAGTAATTAGTAATGAATAGCAGGCATATTTGGAAAATTATGCCGATAAGCAGGATGGAATTTGGGAAAGTAAGTGCATGGTTGCAGCATATCTATGTATAAAGTATTTAATTTAATTTAATTGTTTATAGAAATGTTATAAATCGAGTGGCTCATTTACGATGTGCTCCAAACATTTGGCGAACTTTTTTTCGCCTTTTCAACGTGCTAAGTAACAAGTTAAGATGACTGCCATCACGGCCGGTAAGAAACCGCAAGCAAAGGGCAGACAACCTTCCAGGAAGCTGCCTCCTGTCCTCGAGCCGAAGCTGCAGTTCAGCAAGAGCAGGTCAGCAAATTGCCACCCTGATCAAACGTAAACTAAAGCGCTCTGCTGTGATTGCACTCCGTAAA